TGTCTGCTCAAAGTCAGATAAACTGACTTCATATTTGTATGAACAATATTTAAAAACTATATTAAAATCTTATATAGGCAATGATCGTTTTTTATTAATTGTTAATTCTTAAGGAGGGCAAAAGAACATTCACATGTATAATGACGTTTTTATAAATAATGATAATAAGTCAACATATAAATTATACCTCCAAAGTACACATCGATGTGTCAACCTTGTGATGTTTAGTTTTACAGACAAGTCAAAATTATCATCAAGCGAATTCAAAATTGTCCAGATAATCTTATTAACAAAGAAAAAATAGAATTGAATTCGTGATGCAATAAAAATTCAATCATTAATTTATTATGTATTATGTGCTTCAATTTAAAACATGATTCTATTTACATGGTACGCGTCAAAGTTGGCAAATGAACGCGAAATTTTTTTATAATCAATTATGTTTCCCTGCAAATCTACATAACTTGAAATGTAATTTGTGCACTGAATTATTGTTTCATTAAATGTTCGTGCGACTCACTTATGCTTCCAATGCTTTTACATTAATTTTCACCCACAACATTGTACGGCAATGTCCGAATTTTATAATAATAATAATGATGAAATAAAAAAATAAATATAAAACGAAATATTATTTTATAAAATGTTCGTAACGTATGATTCATTTGTGTTTCCAATGTTTTAATATAAATTTTAATTTACAATATTGTATGGCAATGTTCGTATTGAGACATCTAACTGGGATATTATCTTCCGCGGCATAATTGTGAAAGTTCTGTGTCATGTGAGATATTGGAAATAAAAAAAGGAAAAATGAAAAATGAGAAAAATTAAGCGACTATAAAATGTGAAGGATAGGAATACGAAGCTCTACCTGTTTGCGGAATTCATGCCGTCTTTCATCAGCCCAGTAAATTTTCTCTCCCCAGTACGTGTATAATCTCCCTATAAATAGTAAGAAATCATAGATCATTTAGAAATCATTTGGAACAAAATTAAGATTTATATTAAGACAGACTTTGCATGGGCAATTTGTGAGATGTACAGACCTTTAAAGCATTTGTTCCTGCATATTGCTTGCTAATAATGTCTCCATTATTAGCCCAAAGCGATTGGAAAGTCTGTCTTATATTTGCAGGCAGAATTCCGTCAGGTGGTATTAGTCCCAGTTTTGAAAACTGCATTTCCATAACAGCTTTACCCAGAGCGGTTTGTACCACGTTTGTTCTATCCAAGCAATCTATACAATTTACACGGAACACGCCCTTTTGCATGCAAATCGTACCTTGTTTATCGCGCCAGCAGTAACCCATATTTGCTAGCATTGTAGCCAATGCATTAACCAGAATAGACACATTTTCAAAATGCATTCCTCGACTGCATTTAAACACAAAATTTTAAAGACAAACATCGTAATAAGAAGCATGAGTTTAAGCAATTCATTTAGTTACTTACCAATATTCATGAAAATCGAAAGTGGTGTATGTTATATCTGAATGATTATAATTAAATACATGATTACTGTAAGCTTCCCAAATAATCCTTTCTTTACCAGTCTGTTCGACTAGATTAACGATACAAATAGGCCCATAAAACGCAAGTTCTTCACCAAAATGCTTTTCAAATGCTATCTGCGTTTCAGCCTCATCTGTAATATCATTGTACGAGATTATTACGTTACATAAAAATAATCTAGTTTAAAGGTAAAAGATATCTCTTTATACCTTTATCAATCCGTGGTGGAGGTTTATATTTATACCCAGGTTGAGACCAATATACTGGCACACTTCCTCGTACTTGTACAAAAGATACTTGATGATCATGATACCAAACTAATTGTTCAGTCTCAACATAATTTGCACACTTGCCATCATCATCCACTCCACGTCTCTTGTACCTATGTAATGTTATATGTATTTAGAAATACTTTTTTAATCTTAATATTGAGTAAGATAAAACTTATAATTATGACAATCTAATTATCTATGTAAATTATCTATGTGATGAATGAAATGAAAATTACCTAGTTCCAGCACGAAATCTACTCCTTCTCGATATAATTGCCAAATTAAATATCTCTTGTTGCGGTTGCTCGTCAAAACCTACCTCGACTATGCATTTTTCTATTTGAACATATCCTTGAATAATTGGCAATATCCAACAGTTTGCTTTATTTGTCTGCAGAATAAGACAAAAATAAGTATTATAAAATGAGAATTTTGAATTAGTTATTGGATGCAGTCATTATACAGCTGACTTTAAATAATATATACCCACTCATTAAGCAAATAAAGAGATAAATTTTACATTTAATTGTATTTTATCTACTATTATATACAGTTAGTATAATTATACAACAATGTCATAAGATATTTATTTGGGCAAATATGTCTTATTGTTTACAGTTACTTGTATAAAAATAAAGATTTTTTAATCACGAACATTTAGATTAATAATGTCATGTAACATATGCTTGTTCCAGAAAAATCTGTCATCTACACGTTGCCATAATGGCTTATCTTGATTGTCTTGTCCATACTGAGATTCCATTATGCATTGTCGCTGCAAACTATTAGTAATATCACCAGTCTGACAAAAGAAGAATGAATCAGTTTCGGTAAATATCTTATTCAACTCTTCCAAAATTCTCTTCTCAAATCTGTCTTTATCTTTTACTACGCTGCGTTTGATCACTGTGGACTTCATCTGTACAGAAAATATTGAGTTTGTGAATTGTGTAAGACAACAAATATGAATTCACGAATGCCAACAATTTTAGGTTCCTTACTTGAGATGTAGCCAATGCGGCAGCATGCTGTGTAGTATTTTTTATAGTATTTGTGGCATTCTTGATTGTACCCCAGGTTTTCGCTAAAGCTGCTTTCTGTGGCACATCAAATAATCCACTCCCTTTCTTCTTCAATACATATTGATGTTTTTTACAAGGTAGTAAACCAATATCCATATTTTCTGTGCCAATATGTAGAAATGCGATAGATTTAATTTTGTAAACAACATGACCGCCATGTAATTCTCCGGCTGGTGTGATATCCTTTATGAGCATCAAGCGAGGTTCCAATACCGATGTCTGTTCAATTTTTCCAACTATTCCATAAAACATCCCCAGGCATTCTAAATCCTTCGGTGTGGCCCATTCCCAATCTGTAAAATCCATCATCAAAATCATCATTTCTATCAAAATAATTAAATGTCTATCTATATACTATCAAACTCCACATATATAACATTTCTTTATCAATTGTCAAGAATACTATATCATTTATATGAAATCTTTATACGGACATAATGTACATACTCCCACTTGAAATTGATTCGCATCCTCAAAACGTGACGTTAAGATCGCTTTTCGTATACGACGCTTTGTTCACTTTATATCAAATACAATTGTACACACACCCACCTGATTTTGCGGCGAATTCACCAGTATACTTGTCACACCAGAGGCTGTGCCTCTCTTTCACGAAGATAAAATGAGTGTCAGTGCGGAACAGTTCCATCCTTTTGTTTTTCTGCAAGTTTGACAGCTACAGGCAGCATGTGTGACGTTTCCGCGTCGAGCAAAATATCCGCTTACCACCGAATGCTCGCCATGTTGTTCATGACTAAACGCTCAGCAGTGCTCAGTCGATTATGTTCTTCGATGTTAAAAGGCATCGACAAGCGAGGGAGGGAAGGTTACAACGCAAATCAATTCCATTATTCCTCAATGGACAATGCCGAGACAGCTAGTCGCTCGATATTCCGATAAAGTGTTTTCCCGATTCGTTTGATTAGAGTCGTTCTTGACCTGATTGGTAGTATATGAATAATTGAGGCGGGATCTCGTAATGTTCTTTTTTTACATTTATTAATTTATTATTATTAAGTTTTTTTCTATTATTATTAAGTTTATTCTATATTACATTACTTTTAGAGAGAAGGATGTCTTGAATGAATTTATTATCTAGAGACTTTATATCTTAATAAATGATCATTTAAAATATTTAATGTACTAATATTTTCTTCAATCATAATATTCGCATGTATAATAAATGTATTACATGTATAATAATTTTGAAATATAAAAGAGCGAATTTTAAATGTCTCTTTGAAATAATTATAATTATAATTTCTTATGAATATTAAGATATTACTCTATATAACTATATAACTATATCAGAGATATTTTTACAGCAATTTTATCAAAATTATATTTAAGATGCAATCATGCTGATTCAATGCTCATTTTTAGCTTTAAAATAAGTTACATTGAATGTCCAAATTGAATGTCAAGTGTCAATTTTAATTATTTGATCTATTTTGACCTTAAAAATGAGCATAAATATAAAGAAGTACTTTTAAAAAATATAATTTCACAAAAAATATAATTACGTACATATTTATAAAAATAAGAATTTAAATAAATTATTTAAGCAAAAAAAATTTATTTGTAGTCTTTTTTAAAAAAATTTCTAAAAAAATTTAAGAGAAAATAAATGGTAAATATATTTCGAATAGATTTGTGTCATTTGGTAGATACGGATTTAAAATTTTAAAGGTTAAACAAAATTAAAAATCAAATTGTTGGATAAATTAGCTTTATTACAATATTATATGAACTTTTCATCTTTATTTTACATCTTTCTGTAATTATAAGTAGTAGCTTTAAATCGGTATGAAAAATGTGGAAATAGTATCTTATTTAAATTACAGTTTAAAAATCGTTCAATTCCCTAAATAAAGTCGCCAACTAGCATTTAATTATAAAATAAATATTGCATTTATATAATTAGTGCATTACGTATTAATGATTGAAATACGCTGCATGAAACTCATGTGTAAACTGTGAATAATTGTTTCCGCGTCGTATCGAATAAGATTAAAAGTTCGCCAACTTATACACGTGACGCAAAATGTATATAACAAATTCTACATGTAAAAAATTTTGCAATGTGATGCACAGCACTGGATTCAAATATGTTATATTATTGCATCTCTCATTAACCACTCCATACCTTTTATTTAAATCGCTATACATGTGTATACACAACCAATGATTACAAATACATAGAATAAGAAAAATGTGAAAATATGTATGTTTTCAAAAAAATTGCTATAGATTTGTCGTGTTGCTTAAAATCTCTAAAAAATTTTGCATTAACGAATATACATAAAACGAAATAAATATATATTTGAATATTGAAAGCAAAAATTCTAAGTGCAAAAAATCCAAACGAACAGACCTAAATATCACGCGTCATTTTTTTGCAATGAGAAGAAACTGATGTAAACTGATTTAAGTTAATCATCGTTCTATCCAACATAGGACAGCCTTGTCATTTTCAGTCATGATTTTAAAACATCCGACAAATGCATTTTCTTCATGCATTCGCTTCATCATATATAATCTTGAAGTCTCTGTATTTCTTCTGTCAATCAATGTCTCTTCTATCAATCAATTGGTCAAGGTGGCATGAAGAACAATAAGTTTCGCCAAAATTTATTGTTTATCATTGCTGCTAGTCTGTTCATTGCTGTGATCGTTCTTTTTCGGTTTGTATTCTTCCCATTTTCTATGATTAAGGATTTGAAAATCCTCAACATCGGCTATCAATTCTAAATATCTTGATAGTTTCAGCAGTTCAAAGTCTTTGACTCTGCTTGTATGAGCATGTTTGAAAGGTTTTATTCTCAATCCTGACTGCGGATTCATTATGAAGTTTCGTCTGATATCATCAAACATTATTGTATTTTTCGCGGAGAACTGCTTGTATTTTCCCCAAATAATACCCAGTGGCTTTACTCCAACAACCCCATATTTCGGTGTATGAACAGTGATCATGGCAAGGACGTCCAGATGAAAAGCTATTTTATAGTTTGGATGATTTGAGACTCCCAAAAGCTTCATTTTCTCATTGATCCATCTCATGCTAGTTGCTGACCAGATGACTATATCATAATTTTTATAAGCACGAGTCAAAAATTCATGGAGATACGGACGCATTAGCTGTGCTCCGCTCTCTGCCACTGACCTGTGATCAAATAAAGTGTAATCTATGTCTAGTACAAGAAGCTTCTTACCATTTCTTAAAGGATTCAGCTCTGTGATTATATAGCGATCGATTCGTATCTGAATTTTACGAAGATTTATTTCAGCCTTCTCAATCTCTACTTCCTCCTCTTCTATATCTAGATCATTTATTACATCAGGTACATCCTCAGGTGCTTGACTGACCTCAGCAATATCTTCCTCACGCGAACCCATTAACATTAGTTTGAATCCAGGCTTCAAATTTAATTTACCGATTATGTCTTCATCTTGTGCTGCCTTGCCTAACAAAGAACAAATTTCTAAATATTTTTTTTTAAAAACTCTATATATTTAGATTAACTATCTACAAATTTTCTATTACTAATTTTTCACACTAATAAAAATAATCAATATATAAAAGAATTATTAGTTCATATATCCTATATACTGTCAATAATTTTTTTACTTTCATGTATAGGAAAGCAAAATTATTTTAAGAATTATATAAATAATATTTATAATTTATATATATGTTCTTATTTTATATATTACTCTTATATTACTATGTATTGTAATATACATGTATATGCAATATATAAAATATAAGTCAAATAATTATAATTGATATACTGGATAATAATAATTAATAGCTAGATATTAGTTGTATTTCTTTCAAGACGATAAACTCTAAAATAAATTATTATAATTACAATAATGACTATATTTATTTGATAGAACTTATCAAAGAATAGTTCAAAATATAACCTTTAAACTTTAAATTTAACAGTTTTTGACGTTCCGGACGAACACCTGTTTCTCTGTGTATACGCTCTTTCAGAGTAAGAACTGTATCTTCCTCTTGAATATCGAGGATATCGTATTCTTTTCCACTCCATTTCACTACAATTCTTAATTCGCTCTCCATTCTCACTCTTTCAATTGCATCAATGGAACGCGTGCATTGCGATTCTAAAAAAGAAACGTCCAGACGCTCCAGATAATTCTTGTGACTTGTGTATTATCGGTAATGCCGGATTTGAAATTATCGTTAATGAACAGTTAACTAAAAATAGTAAATATATTTTTTAATAAAATAATAAAATAGCAAAACATAGAATAATGAAATAGTCATTCAGAAAAAAATTGTTTTTTAATTCCATGTTACTGCTGGTAAGCGCGCATGCATCATTATCGACCTTATCGATCTTGCGTATAAATCAAGTCTACATGACTCTTTGAAACTACTGACAAGATAGCAGACAAATTGAATATTTCTGATTTATTTATGTCTATATAATTTGGGAATCGTTTGGGAAAAGGGAAAAACATTTAAATATTTGGGTAATAGTATTTTTCTTAAGAAATTTTCTTTTCTGACTGGTTTTTCTTCGGATACTCTTGTTTCATTTGATGACGTTCTGAAATATATTCACAAATAATTAAACATATATATATATGTATATATATATATA